CCCTCAACATATGGAATGACCACTGGTCTGGGTTCCTCCTTTTCACCTGTTGGCTGACTGGAGTCCTGTTTGGGTTTCTTCTCTGCTTTCAGGAAGGCCCAGTTAGGATATCCACATTGCTCTAGAGCCTGTCTTGTGTGAGATTTCTCCTTCTGCCTGGCTCCTGAGTTAGTGGGGACGCTGTCTGCTCTGTGATACAGAGTCCTGATGACTCCTAACTTGTGCTCCAAAGTGTGATGGGAGTCAAACTGCAAATACTGGTCTGTGTGGGTGGGTTTGTGGTACACCTCAGTTTGCAAATGTCCTCTATCAGAGACTGAGACCTCACAGTCCAAGAAAGCCAACCTGCCATTTTGTACATCTTCTCGTGTGAACTTGATGTACTTATCCACAGAGTTGATGTGGTCAGTAAAATGTTGGACTTCCTGAGATTTGATTTTAACCCAGGTGTCGTCAACATACCTGAACCAATGACTTGGTGGAGTCCCAGTAAAGGACGTCAAGGCTCTCTTTTCTACCTCCTCCATGTACAGGTTGGCAACAATAGGAGAAACTGGAGACCCCATAGCACACCCATGTTTCTGCCTATAATATTGCTCCCCATACGTGAAGTAGCTTGACTGCAGGCACAGTTTCAAGAGTTGACACAGTTGTTCTGTAGAAAGTGTGGTCCTGCTGCTCAGAGTGGTGTCTGATTTTAATTTTAAACTGACCACCTCTACTGCATCATCAACAGGAATGCACGTAAAGAGTGATGTGACATCAAAAGAGACCATTGTTTCATCAGTCTCCATGATGACATCCCTGACCTTATCCACAAAGTCCATAGTGTTCTGTATGTGGTGTTCTGAGCTGCCAACTAAAGGGATGAGTACAGACGCCAGATATTTGGAAACATTGTAAGTGACAGAGTTAATCATACTAACAATTGGTCTTAAAGGTACACCTTGTTTGTGGATTTTAGGTAAACCATACAGACTAGGTGTGGCCTCCCCTGGGTACAGTCTGTGGTACAGAAAACGGTCAATAGCCTTGTCCTGCTCCAAAATTTTCAGGCAATCTATCAATTTCTTCTTGTAACCACTTCCTGGATCTCTTTTCAGAGGTTCATAAGTGACTTATGGCTCATCATCAGGCCAGGACTCTGCGGTCTACACTCATCTCCAGGCCAGCGGTCACTCTTTCGGGGATGAAGATGTTCACATCCTGGACAGAGAGGAACGATGGTTTGAGAGAGGAGTCAAGGAGTCCATCTTTGTGAAAAGAAATCGTCCATCGTTAAACAGGGGTGGAGGCCTCCGGGTTCAACTGTCCCCCTCTTACAATGCTGTGATTGCTAGTATCACTCAGCCCTCTGTGAATAGTACACAGCCATCAGTGTGCTAATGATCCATTGTTAGGCTGATGGTCCTTCTTGAGCATGTGATCAGCTTGTTTTGGTTGTCAGCAGCAAAACTGGTTGATCCACTCTGAGATGGTGCTATTTAAGAGACTGAGCTGAATACAGCTCCTCAGACTGAGGAAGTCTCTTGGATGAGAGATGAAACGTTTCTACATTTTTTTGTTGATTTGCTTTGTTTTGTTTTTTTTAATGTCCAGAGGACCAGATTTAACTTTTTTAGAAGAGACAATACACCAATATTTATAACAACAAATTGTTTCAGTAATTTTTGTGACAAATGATGTGGATATTCTCCTGCTACAGCTTTTTCAAAAACCATTCACTCACATTTACACATTGTCCATTGTTGTCATCTTTCTTTGTTGAAATCAGGTCTCTCTTGTAAATGAGTCCTCTAGGCTCAATGGGATTACCTGTCTAAATAAAGGTTGAAATAATTTAATATATTATAAATATTACATCAGGTAGTTGATTGTTTTTTTTCTTAAGTGATGTGTTATAAAGGATTGAAATGTTTTGGATCCTACTGCTTGTTGTCAGTGTTCTGGAACAACTTGAAATGGGATGTTTGCTCAGCAGCTATTACCAGACACACCTACTTTCCTCCACTCCCTTCACTAACAACAGCCACTTCCTTCAGTCTGCAGACTCCACAGCTCTATTCGTGTTGACTGTCCAGAGTCCACGGATACAGCTTTGCTCGTCCTACCACTTTTAGTTTGAGTGACCTCCACTCAGCCTACAGGTAAGTTATAATCTCAGACCACATTTATAGCAAAAATAATCAGTTTATAGTGTAAAAAACACCTAATTTATCATTTTCTCCAAAACTTACATTTCTGAAATGTGTGAACAATATTTTCTTGGCACTTACTGTCATTTATTTTTTCATACAGTTTGTTGCTACAACAAAAAACACTAAAAGCAGAATGCACTTTGATGGATATGTTTTTAACATTTAATACTTTAGCCTGTCAGATAGATTTTATATCAAATATTTAAAGTCATATGTGCTTTAAATATGTTTATTAGAGCCAACGTTGAAGTCTTATCTCAGTTGTGACTGAGCAGAGATAAGGAAAGTGTAAACAAATATAACACATTCTCACTGCATGAACCATGTTTGATAAAGTACTAGTAATCTTGTGGTGATAACTGACTGAATTGCATTTCATAAAGGTGTGGAATTCTTCTGAAAAAATACAGATCAGTCTAGGTGCAGGTATTAGACATGAATTTGGCAAACCTGTGTATATAAATATTCTGAAAGTTTTCATTGGATGTACATCTACAACTGATTCACTTGTCAACCCATTTCAATATGGCTTCCACAACCAGCTGACCATAGGAAACAAAAAAAAGTTCTAACTTAGCCATACTCACAACATTAAACTGAGCTCACACGGTACAGTAGTGACTGAGAGTCATATTCTATTCACAATATTTTGTTTAATACTTTGACATTCACTATTAGTCAGAAATGTTTGTTCACAAAATATCTCGTGAGCCTGAGGACAGGTTTTAACCTGTTTGCTTATTAGTTTGTCAATACTGTAATCTATAATCTCAATAATTATTGTAACTAAATTTTCATCTGATTATGGTTTGGAGTAAGCACAAATCATTGCATTTCTTGCTTTCCATCCATAAAAACTGTTAGAGAAATTAAGCTGTACTTTGCATTAAGAAAAATGTTCTGTCTGACTGATCCTGGTTTTCCTGCCTGATCTTGATTGTAAAACTTGCAGCGGCTCATCAGCATACCAGCTTCCTCAGCAACCACATTCCATCTGCCTCTCCTGCCTCTGCTCAGACATGTCGCTCTACAGTTTTGGGTTGGAGCCGCTGTCCTGCCACGCCTGGAACAAAGACAGGACCCGTATGTACAACACAAAAACACCTGTGTGATGAAATGCTCCAACCTTACATGTCCTTTCCCAATGTATGTTTATAAAAAGAAGAATTGGAATGCAGTCTGGATACACATTCTTCCTCCTAATTGTATTAATGTTGTCTGGTGAACCACAGAGAATCTGATTATCAATAGAGGAAATGGACTCAAATAGCTTTATCGCAGACATAATATAAGTCCATCTCAGCTGCTGAAGCATATCCACTCAGCTATTATTACAAACAGAACTGGAACAAGAATGCAGTAGGTTCTAAAAAGTTAAATCTGGTCCTCTGGACATTCAAAAAAAAAAAAAAAAAGCAAAACAACAAAAAAATGTAGAAACGTTTCGTCTCTCATCCGAGAGACTTCCTCAGTCTGAGGTGCTGTATTCAGCTCAGTCTCTTAAATAGCACCTTCTCAGAGTGGATCAACCAGTTTTGCTGCTGACAACCAAAACCAGCTGAGCACATGCTCAAGAAGGACCATCAGCCTAACAATGGATCATTAGCACATTGATGGCTGTTTACTATTCACAGAGGGCTGAGTGGTACTAGCAATCACAGCATTGTAAGAGGGGGACAATTGAACACGTAGGCCTCCACCCCTGTTTAACGATGGACGGTTTCTTTTCACAAAGATGGCCTCCTTTACTCGTCTCTCAAACCATCGTTCCTCTCTATCCAGGATGTGCACATCTTCATCCCTGAAAGAGTGACCGCTGGCCTGGAGATGAGTGTAGACCACAGAGTCTTGGCCTGATGATGTTGATCTTCTGTGCTGGGCCATCCTTTTGGCCAGTGGCTGTTTAGTTTCCCCGATGTAAGACTGATCACAGCCCTCCTGACACTGAACAGCATACATAACATTGCTCTGTTTGTGCCGGGGGACTGGATCTTTGGGATGAACCAGTCTTTGCCGTAATGTATTTTGGGGTTTAAAAGCCACTGGGACGTTATGATTAGAAAATAAACGTCTCAGTTTCTCTGATACTCCCTCAACATATGGAATGACCACTGGTCTGGGTCTGGGTTCCTCCTTTTCACCTGTTGGCTGACTGGAGTCCTGTTTGGGTTTCTTCTCTGCTTTTAGGAAGGCCCAGTTAGGATATCCACATTGCTCTAGAGCCTGTCTTGTGTGGGATTTCTCCTTCTGCCTGGCTCCTGAGCTAGTGGGGACGCTGTCTGCTCTGTGATACAGAGTCCTGATGGCTCCTAACTTGTGCTCCAAAGGGTGATGGGAGTCAAACTGCAAATACTGGTCTGTGTGGGTGGGTTTGCGGTACACCTCAGTTTGCAAATGTCCTCTATCAGAGGCTGAGACCTCACAGTCCAAGAAAGCCAACTTGCCATTTTTTTCATCTTCTCGTGTGAACTTGATGTATTTATCCACAGAGTTGATGTGGTCAGTAAAATGTTGGACTTCCTGAGATTTAATTTTAACCCAGGTGTCGTCAACATACCTGAACCAATGACTTGGTGGTGTCCCTGAAAAGGACGTCAAGGCTCTCTTTTCTTCCTCCTCCATGTACAAGTTGGCAACAATAGGAGAAACTGGAGACCCCATAGCACACCCATGTTTCTGCCTATAATATTGCTCCCCATATGTGAAGTAGGTTGACTGCAGGCACAGTTTCAAGAGTTGACACAGTTGTGCTGTGGAAAGCGTGGTCCTGCTGCTCAGAGTGGTGTCTGATTTTAATTTTAAACTGACCACCTCTACTGCATCATCAACAGGAATGCACGTAAAGAGTGATGTGACATCAAAAGAGACTATTGTTTCATCAGTCTCCATGATGACATCCCTCACCTTGTCCACAAAGTCCATGGTGTTCTGTATGTGGTGTTCTGAGCTGCCAACTACAGGGATGAGTACAGACGCCAGATATTTGGAAACATTGTAAGTG